TCGTCAGGTAAGTGAGCTGGCACAAAATGACAAGAGAGATGATTTCCAGAGGATTTTACCTATGCAACCTGTATGCTGAGCAAACCAAGAACCTGGACTATATGAAGAATGAGGCATCGGATTGGAGGAAGACTCATTAAGAACGTGTGTTATGCAGATGACACAACCTTGCTTACAGAGAGAGGACTTGGAACACTCACTGCGGGAAATCAATGACATTCAATATTGATTGTATTTCAACATCAAGAAAACAAACTCTGGTGTTGGAATATTGAGTAACACACTGTGGGCTGCCGGGAGCACAAATAGATCTTTGAAAAAGTGCAGCTAGAGTGTCCTAGAGACGAGGATGATGGCCTGGGGCAGCCTGCACTCAGGACCCGCCCGCCCTCTGCGGTGGCACAAGCTTCCCACTGTTTTAAACACTAAATACAGTAACTGAGCAATTCCAAGCCCATAATCAGCCTCCACTTCCCAGCTCCCAGCATGTCCGTCAACACACTGACCTCCATTCTGAGCACTCCTCCTCTGCTGGGTGTCCACTTCCTGTGTCATGACCTCAACTTTATTAAAAAATGAAAGAAACCAGGATGCTGAGGCATTGTCTCGTGGGTGAGGCATATTATCGGAAAAGGCTGGTGCTTCAGAAAGATCCTGAGCCTGGCAGGTCTGCAAGTCTCGGTGAGCTGTGCCAACATGGTGGCTCCGAGGACAGAGCGATGGAGGGGGCGCCTGGGGGGCACGGGGCAGCCAGTTCTCTGGGCATGTGGCATGAGTTGGAGCCAGCCTGCCGGCACCTGTCAGGACACAGGCTGGCCAATAAAGGAGGCCAATGATTCTGGAATCGCGTCACACTGTGAGAATCCTGCATACACGCATCTTTCAGGTGCTCCTCTTTCTAATAATCACAGAATTCATGTGATGGGCTTTACTAGGCTGTACTGTGTGGGGATTAAGAACTCTGATAGCTGAGTGGTACGGAATTGTGCTGCCAGCAGAGGCAGGGAGTTTGACTCCACCAGCCGCTCCGCAGTAGGACGGACAGCATCCTGTGTGATTACCGGCTTCTGAAAACCCACTGGAAGGTGAGCTACGGGTCGGTTCCAACTTTGACGGTGCTCAGGGACTGTGTGCAGACAGCTGTGCAGCTTGAAGCGCTGGGCAGTCACCCGACTCTACAACCCAGCACTGTGTCCAGCTCCTGCACTGCGCCCAGCCTCTGCACCACCGTTCACAAAATAAAGGGCAGCAGGAGGGGTTTGTTGTTGGCTGAAGACAAGAACAAAGAAAGAGGTGGGGACACCAAGAATGGAGAGAACAGGGCATAAAGGCGGGGGCGAACAGCTCAAAGACTGAACCCCAGAACGTAGCCTCCCGGTAACTTTATTGAGAGCAGATCACAGGGAATTCTATGCAAATGAAGCTGAGCTTTCTACTGAAAACCTTATGCTTGACTCAGGAGGGCGGGCTTAGCAAATACAACCCAGGAATTGTGAAGACGCCTTTAGGTCTGCCCAGGTGCTGTCCCAGGAGGAATTCCAGCTTGTATCTGCTTCCCTCGTATCCTGACAAAGCATTTGGTTTATCATTAATTTAGCTTCCCACAGGGTTCTCCATCGGTTTGGCCCCTGGCAGTCCATTTTGTCCTCTGTTCACTCGAACCCCTCAGCTGCACATCCTCCAGGACTAGATCCTGGACAGAGAACAGGGGTGCAGTGGTGTACTGGGGGATGCAGTAGTGTGCAGGGGTGTGTTGGGGGATGTGGTGGTGTGAGGAAGAAAGGGAGAGTGCGGTGGTGTTGGGGGGTGCTGTGGTGTGCAGGGGGATGCAATGGTGTGCAGGGGAGATGTGGTGTGTGGAGGGATGTGGTGGTGTGCTGGGGGTGCAGTGGTGTGTGGGGATGCGGTTGGTGTACTGGGGGGATGCACTAGTGTGCAGGGGGTGCAATGGTGTCTGGGGGGATGTTGTGGTGTGGGGGGAGTTAGGGGGATGCGGTAGTATGTTGGGGGTGTGTGGTGGTGGTGGTGGTTGTTTTGTGTGGTTGTGTTGTTTGTGGGTTGTTGGGGGTGTGTGGTGGTGTGCAGGGTGTGCCGGGGGGATGTGTCAGTGGTTCCTGGTCCTGGACGAAAGGGGAAAGTGGTCATAGGGAGCCAGGACACCCAGTCCCCACCCTCTCTCCAAGGCCTGGGTGGCGACACAAGCCAGCGAGCTCAGCTCCATGCTTCTACTGGAAGGGGAGATCAGAGCATGTACACCCCTTCTCTATCACACTGGGACCCCTAATCATCACAGACAAGCCAAGGAAGAAAATGGTGGGAGGTACAAAGAAAATGAAAAGTCCCGCTGCTTACCTCCAGAACTGCCAAAGCCACAGAATAGTGTACGGAACCGAAGGTTAGCTTCCACAAGGGTTAGGGGTGGTAGTTCTCCTGTCTGCCTTTCAGTGATCCCTACACTGACGTGTGACAGTCGCTGCCCTATCACCACATAGCTGGATCCCAACGTACCTGTTCTTCGGGGTCTTTCCAGCATCTCTCCAAAAGATGACACACGTGTCACCCAGTGTAGATTAGATTCTGTAGCAAGTTCCCCCGTGTAACTGGCTTTGTGGAGATGTGAGTTGTTTCCAGAGAGGTTTCACCAGTCCGTCCTCCCAAAGAACCTTCCTAAACCCTCCCCACTACATCTTGGGTGCTGTCCCTGTAGACATGCCAACCCCAGGGCACTTCCCACACATGCAAACCCATGATGCCCCACAACCACCTCCACAGAGAAGTGGACGGAGAGCTCAAACTACAGTTATTTCAGTTAGCAGCCAACTGTTTCCGTGGTTCCTTAAATTCTGACTCAAGAAATGAAAAGAGCAGACACAAACCCATGCGAGGCTAGTTCGCCCAGGGCAGCCCTCCATCTAGTTCCTGAGGTTGTCAATTGGGAGCTTACCTCACCTGTCTGCTGAGCAGTTGGCAGATTCAAACGTCCAACCTTTCAATGAACAGTCCAACACAAAATGCCCTGTGCCACTAGGGCACCTTTATATAGGAAACAACCTACTACATTCGCACCTAAAAATGTTCAATTTTAAAAAATTTCCCATTACAAGGGAGCTCTGGTGGCCTAGTGGCAAGACACTGCACTGCAATCCCAGAAGTACGTGGTTCAAATCCACCAGAAGCTCTGCTGGAGAAGGAGGGAGCAATCTCCTCCTGTACCAGTCAGATCTGATTTGACGGTACATGTAAAAATAAAACAATAAAAATTTCCCATTACAGGTTCAACTGATTTAACTATCAGACAATTTGTGTTTTTCTCTAATATGAGTGATCATCAAATACCCACTGTCTCAGTTTTAAAACTGACTGGAGAGTCCTATTTCGAGAGGTCTATGTTCCCTGCCCCACCCTCACAGTGTAGGCCAAAGAGCGCCCCTTGCCTCCGTCTGGACAAGAGGACTATTTGGGTCTCTGGTGGGCCAGGTCAAAGGGTGCCGAGGTGGCCTGCCAGCTGACCCAGAGCCTCCATGTACCCTTCAGAAGGATAAAAAGAGCAAGCCTTTCAGTCACTTCATCAAAATGCAACAATGTGGAGTGAAAAACCAGAGACTGGAGTCTTGGAATCAAATAATTTATCACAAAATGAGCAGTTTTAAACATACAACAGATTTTCATCACACTTAACTCAAAAGGAATAAACAGATTTTATTCAAACTTTACAAACATCCTTTACATTTAGCCTGAGATTAAGCATGGGAGAGTTCAACCTGAAGCCAGACGTGATTCCCCAGCATCCGAGAACAGCGCACTGCAGAACGGGCATCTGGGAGCTGGGAACAAGGCTAGGACGATCCTAGTTTTATTGACAAGAAAGCCAGTGACCGTGCGTTGGTGTCTCGGGGCAGGATCGTGGTTCCACATTTCAGCTGCTGCTGCTCTGACCAGAAACAAGAGCCCACGTTGTAGTCAACGTGAGCTTGGGAACACAGAGCACCTCTCCAAGTGTACAAACATCACACGGTAAGAAAATAGAAAAGAGTTTCCATTTCCCAAAAGAGTAAGCCTCTAAATGCTTCGTTCATCCTTTGGTTTCATACCTGTGGTCACTTGAGCCACGTCGCAGACGCAGCCCAGAGACAGAACACTAGACGTTGTCAGGGAGGGAGAGCAAGGGGGGTACCAAAGCGCTCCTCAGAGAAAGGAGATGCGGAAGCAAAAATACTTTCTGATATACACTGTACATCATGTAAACAGACGCTCTGACAGGAGTCGGTGTGGCGGGCCAGTGTCAGTTCCTAGGAAAGCAGTCTTTACTCTTCTCAAGCAGGGAGGCTGCTTCTGAGAGAAGAACGAAGTCTGCTCCTAGGTATGTGCTTAGAGATCTTGGGAACTAGAGAGTATTACATTCAATCGCTAACGGCGTGTCCTCTCCTCAGCTGGCTGACAGCTGCCACGGAGGCACGGAGAGTAACTGCAGTGCCTGCTTCTCAAAGAACTAGCTAAATGAGCCGGCACTCACCCATCTTCACCAGCCCTTGGAGGTGACACCGCTGAGGGGAGCAGGACTTTCCAAATGTGTGCAGGGGAAACCTGCTGGCAAGGCTTCCTATAGTAAGGCCGGCAACGAAGTCATGACAGAGCGAGCCTCCGCTGTGACACACGGAAGCAGGGCTGGGAGGCCCTCGGACTGTGCAAACAGCTTTGTGGGCAGGGGCAGCATCAGAGGACGGCAGTAAGCCAGCACTGGCCGGGTTCTGAGGCGCAGACGTTAATATCGTGGGAGGGTTGCACAGCAATGGCCTCGCTGTCCCCTCAGGGACACAACAGTGACAGACAGAATCATTAATACTGTTCTCACTCACAAGCCTAGAGCTGAAGCAGGAAGTGACAAGGACAAAACCGCAGCTGTGCCGTCACTGGGACCCCACGCCGGGACCTCGAGCTGCCTCGGTCTTGGGCCTGGGCCAGCAGCCCCCCGGCAGCAGCCCCCCGGCAAGGACAGGTGGTCAGGACTGCCCATCCCGCTTCAAGGCTTCCAGTCTCTGCAGCAGCGCATTGCCAAAGGCCTCCCGGTATGCGGGGCTGAGTGTGTCCAGCAGCGAGTAGACGGTCTCGTGGTAGGGCATCTGCAGGGCCTCGTCCACCTGGTCAAAGGCGTGACCGACCACCTGCAGGAGAGAGGAGGGACGTCACCCACAGCTGCCCCGCGCAGGGCCAGTCCCCGACTCCATTTCTCAGCTGGGTACACTGTAAGGACAGAGCACCACTTCCAGCTCTTACTCCTTCTGGAATTCTTTTCTCAAAAGGCACAAAAAGGTTTGATCTACTTGCCCTTGACTCTTAAAAAAGAGGCAACGAAAGAACGCAGAGAGAGTATTTTTCACTTTTATAAACCAGAATATGGCTCTGTTTATGTTCTTCTGTTCAATGCCACATAGATAGCACTTCCACTCTTACGGCCCCACACTTACAGCTGACACATTCCCAGTTTGATTTCTGTTTGTAATCTCTGTAATCCTGCTGAGTTGGTTCAAAGCCACCCCACACACAACAGAGTGGACAAGGCCTAGGCCTGGCACGGTCACAGCAATGGGAACACCGGCTAGTTGAGGGTCACCTTTTCTACCTCCGTTGGACCCTCTGTCACCTGAGAGGTTGCATTACTTCTGTGACAGGACAGTAAGGCTGTGGAAGCAAAGGAGGCTTAGCCAAGTCGTCCTTTTGTTATAACACTAATGAACTTCCCTGTCTGCAGGCCTGGAAGGCGCAGACGTCAGTTTCTACTTTACAGGTCAGGTGAGTGTAACCTGGTGAGCTCCCTGTGTGAACAGGCAATCTTGTAACAGCTTTTCAAATCATGGAAGATGCACAGTTATGCTAGACCCAAGCTGGGCAGTTCTCTAAGCAGACAAGAGTGACATGAAGGCCTGACCCACACCCTCAGATCCACAGTCCACACGGCACCGTCCACAGTGACCCACACCCTCAGATCTACAGTCCACACAGCACCATCCAGTGACCCACATCCCTCAGATCCATGGTCTACACGGCACTGTCCACAGTGACCCACACCCTCAGATCCACAGTCCACACGGCACTGTCCACAGTGACCCACACCCTCAGATCCACAGTCCACACGGCACTGTCCACAGTGCAGCACATACATGGATGTCCCGTCCTGCTGGCAACCTGATTTCCTCAACAAGGCCTAGTGGGTTTGTTTGTAGATTCTGGTCAAGATCAGGCTAAAAAGGACACACAGAGCAGACTCTGTATTCAAATCCTTCTTGGTGGACCCATCTACAGACACAGTTGGGGGAGCAGGGATGCCGAAGGGCACTTCCTCCTCCAGCAATGCTGGGACTTCACTGACCACCAGTCAGCAGCACTGCCTCAGAACAAACCCACATGGGGGTCGCACTTAGTGCGTCATGATCACAATGTCTGTTCTCTAGAAACACTCCAGGAGCTCTGGTGGCACAGTGGATTAAACACTGGGCTGCCATCTGAACCCACTCGTGACTCAGAGAGAGAATACAATCTAACACAGACCCACACGGCCCTTGCTTGCTGAGATCTTCTCCAGATGTGACAGTGAAACCTTTGAAATTCCTTTCTGACAGACACAGAGCTCTGACCCAAGTGAGGCCTCAGTCTTGAGTGAAATGCGTATTAAGCTCTGGACCTGCTAGTCCTCTCTTCTTGTTCAGTAACCAGAAGATCCTAACAGTGAGCTGGTACGTAAATCAGCCCCCGGGTGGGGAGCCCACGCAGGGTGCCCTCCTTCTGGGTACGGGGGCTGTGAATCGTTACGGCAGGGACTGCGTCATCCTTCCCCTGTGGAGTTGAACCAATAATCTTCAGCTAAGCCGCAATACTTCACATGCTTTACTGCTAGGGCTCTTTGGTAAGGTAACAGCATTCTAGTGCTACGTCAAGGTGCTCTCAGGCGGTGCGTCCTCCTTCTCTAAGCTGCCTGGAGGGTGAGTGGACATCAGTCTGATCAGAGATCTTAGGAAAGCCGAGGGGCAGTCTAACAGAGCTGAGGAGTGGACAGCCCTGGAGCAGGTGTACTTTTTCAATAGGCGGGGCATTGCTAAGAAGAGGAGAGACCCTCCTCCACACGGATCGTGAAACTATCACCGTGCGACTGCACATCACCGGGCCTGCTGCAGTACAGGTGAGATGAACACCCGTCTGGGGAGGAATGATGAAAACTGAACCACTGTGCAAGCCAATGTGACTTCCTTACTGCTTCCAAAATATTCAATTCCCCTATGTTGGCAACAACATGGATTAAATATTAACCTCACGAAAGTAAGATTCTCACCCCTGGGCCAACAGGAAACATCAATAAATGGAGAAAAAAACGGAAGGTGTCAATGATTTCATCTTATTTGGATCCACAATCAACACTCTTAGTACCAGCAAGAACAAAATTTTTAAAAATGTATTACACTAGGAAAGTCAGCTGTCAGCAACCTCTCCAAAGTACGAGAGAGTAATGATATCAGCTTAACAAGTACGGTGTGCCCAATTCAAGTCATTCCTTTTTAATCACCTGCTGTGTACCAGAGAGCTGGACAAAGAATAAGGATGAATGCAGAAAGATCAATGCCTTTGAATTGTGGTGTTACAGAAGAATGTCCCAAGGAGTGCTTTAAAAACCCCCAGATATATCTTGGGGAAATGCACCCAGAATGCTCCTTCAAGGCTAAGATGGCAAAGCTTCATCTAATACACTTTGGGCACATTGTTGTTATTTGCTGCTGAGTTGCTTGCAACTCATAGCGACCCTATATACAACAGCCCTGAACCCTGCTCTATCCTGTGCCAACCTTATTGTCACTGACACACCTACCCTCATTACCCCAGTCACTGAATCAATCCATCTCATCCAGGATCTTCTTCTTTTGCACTGTCCCTCCACCTTTCCAAGCATGATGTTCCTCTCCAAGGACTGGTCCCTCCTTGCAACATGTCCAAAGTATGTCAAATGAAGCGTCAGAATCTTTACCTCCAAGGAATAACCTGGTCTCATCTCTCCAGGACAAACCTGTTTGTTCTCCTAGCAGTCCATGGTATATTCACTACTCTTCTCCAGCACCACAGCTCAAAGGCATCAATCCTCCTATCATCCCTAGTCACTGTCCAGCTTTCTGATGCATAGCAAGTAACTAAGAAGACTATGGCCTGGGTCACATGCACCTTAGACTCCAGGCTGACATCGTTGCTCTTCAGTACACTGGAGAAGTCCCTGACTGCTAGTACCAAGAGTGTTGATTGTGGAGCCAAGCAAACTAAAGCGGTTAACAATCTCAGTATCTTCAATGTCTATCATGATGCTGCAATCAACCCAGTGAAGAGAATCTTTGTCTTCTTGATGTTGAGCAAGCAAGGCTGTGTCATCTGCATAATGCAGGTTGCTAATGAGTCTACCTCCAATCCTGATGCCACATTCCTTCTCATAGAGCCCAGCCTCCCAGATGTTCTGTTCCACATATCAACTGAAAAGGTACGGAGATAAGATACATCCCTGGTGCATACCCTTCCCAATTTTGAACCATGCAGTGTCTCCTAGCTCTGTTCCCAAGACTGCTGCCTGGTCTAAGTTTTGCATAAGCAATATTAAGTGTTCTGGGATTCCTATTCTTCTCAGAGTCAGCCACAGTTTGTTGTGATCCACACAATCAAATGCCTTTACATAGTCAATGAAACACAGATAGACATTCCTCTGGTCCTCTCATCTTCCAGCCAACTTTGGCTATAATATCCCTAGTATCACAGCCTCTTCTAATCACAGACTGCACTACAGGCAGTTCTCTGTTGATATGCTGTTCCAGTCGTTTTTGGATCATTTTCAGCAGACTCATGCTTGCATGTGATATTAATGATACTATTAGATAATTTCAGCCCCTGTCAGGTCACCTTTCTTTAGAATGTGAGCAAATGTTGCTGCTGTTACATGCCATTGAGTCACAGTATGTACATCAGCTCTGAACCCTGTCCTGGGCCAGTGTCACTAATCCCCCGTTATCCCAGTCACTTATCAATCCAGCTCATCCATGGCCTTCCTTTCCTGCGCTGTCCCTCCACCCTTCCGAGCATGATGTCCTTCTCCAAGGACAGGTCTCTCCTGGCCAGATGCCCAAAATATGTGAGATGGAGCTTTAAAACCCTAGCCTCCAAGGACAAACTTGGTTATCACCCTAAGACAGTTACTTGTTTTCTTGGCAGTTCATGGTATGTTAAAGACTCTTCTCCAGCACCACAACTCAAAGGTATTCCTCTAATGCATATCAAGTAACTGCAAAGACCACGGCCTGGATTAGGTGCATCTTAGTCTCTAGACTAAAACAGTGGCTTCTCAGCACTCTGGAGAGTTCCCTGACAGAAGATTTTCCCAGTGCAATTCGTTCTGATTTCCTGACTGCTGGTGTCAAGAGTGCTGATTGTGGAGCTGAGCTGTTATTATTAACAACCTCAATCTCTTCTCCCATCTATCATGGTGCTGTCTA